AAACCTTCGTTGTATCAATTGAGAAACAGATCCATGTGAATTCTCATATGCTAATGTTTCTGCCTGTTGATCTGGCCCCCATTCAAATGCCTCTTTGCCACAAAATTAAGAAGGGAAGGATAGCCACAGAGAGCCATTCACCCATATATAATCACATCTTAGCATCCAGTACTTCACAACAATCTCAGCTTTTGCTTGTTACAGAACCTAGAATCTCCACTAAACTTACTCGATCAAGGAAGGAAAAATCCTGCCTGAACCATGGCCATCCGCATGTTTCGTAATATTCATTGCAAGAATTTTCTTCGAAGGTCTTCATTGATGAGAAACCAAACAACTTCAGATACTCCGAAAGGTCATTTTGCTGTTTATGTTGGGGAGAATGAAAAGAAGAGATTTGTTGTTCCTGTATCATACTTGAACCAAACTTTGTTTCAAGATTTGTTAAGTCAAGCTGAGGAAGAATTTGGGTTTGATCATCCAATGGGTGGCCTCACAATCCCTTGTAGCAAGGATGTATTCATTGATGTCACTTCTCAATTGAGCACAAATGAAATTAGCTATTAGTTTAGTCTAATAGGAAGCAATTTTGTAAATCAGATCTGTGTATATGAACAAAGCTTTGGGAGGAAAATAATCTTCCCCAATGAAAGAAATGTTATTTTAAAGGAAAATGAAGTTAATGACATTTTATTTTTCAATATTGGTTCCTCATTCTTCTGCTGCATCCTCTCTATTCTGCTCATTAATTGTGTTGTATAGATGATTTTTTTTTTTTTTTTTGTACTTAAGGTTGCTTAGTGTGTTTATGCATATTGCATTGGTCGAATTTCAAAAAAATTAGCAGTGTATGGTGCAGATGGTGTTCGATGAAATTTCTGTGAAGAACATCGTTGTGTAAATTGCCTTTTATCAGGTTATATCATGACTAAAATGGACAATACTTGTGCTATTGTTCTGAAATACAATTTCTATGTCCACTCTTCAAACTATTTCCTCATTATTTTTGGATTTTGTTCATACCGTATTTGGCATGCTAAACTTTCTTGGATTTTTCTCTAATATTTTGTATATTAGCTGTGAGCTTGAACTTTCTTGATGAGTGCAAAGGTTGAAATCTTGATATATTACATAAATTACATTATTATTTTGTTAGTTCTGGTTTCAATTTTAACACATTTTCAACTGAAATTCATGAGAAACTTTTCATTTATGTTTGTGTTTGTGTTTGTGTGTATGTGTGTACGTCCATGGCCTAAATCAATGCTGCTTAGAACTACATTGCTACTAGCAACATCGAGTTGAGCATTAGAGTTGGAATGGTGTGATTGTGGTTCTTAGGCCTCAATTTCTAACGTTAGTTATCATTTTGCTGATATTAAACCTTTTAGCCTAAATTCAATGACTAATGAATAGGCTTCTTTATTTTCATGGGGTGTCCAAAACCTTGACATTGAATGTGTAAGAATAAATTGCATACAAATTTCATCATTTGAAGTCATACCCAGCGGATGAGTCTGGTCCTTTGTCCACTAAGAAGCCTGTAATCCTGGAAGTTTTTCTTGAGCCTTCGGAGGGTTACTTATCCTGAATGAAAAATCATCCTGCACTTATTGTGCTCAGACTACCTGTGGGCATTACTTTGCCTCCTGGTGTGCCTTTTTTTTTTTTTTTTCCTTATTTTTTGGTCATTAAAGTATATTTCTATTCGCCATACTTCAACGAGGATGTTAACAGAAGGAAGAGGGGTAACATGGTTGGATACGATTTATCATCGTCTGAGCCAGTGGTTTGGCAATTTTTCTGAGGCATCTGAACTATTAATACTTGCTGGTGCTCGCCAACAGGTACTATTAATGGATTAAATTGCCCTTCTACATTTTTCTTGCTGTGATATATCTGTCCATGATTGTCCTGAAAATCATTAGCCTGTTATCTTTATGCAGATATAAAAATGAAGAATTTTACCTCCAAAATTGTGTGTATTAGGAAGGAACTTACCTCCAAAATTGTATTAGGAAGGAAATTTCTAATGTGTGTTCGACTCATTTTCCGTGTCAGACGCATCATAAAATTGTAACTAACAAAAGCTAAATAAATCACTCTATGCTTCCACGTGTTGTTTTTGTTTGCACTAAAACGTCCATTAGCCTTTATGTTTCCTTGAAGCAGATGAAATACTAAACAAATCTGTCGGATTTAGTACCAAAATGGGTTAATTTTACACAGTTAAACTAACCTCTTAGAGAGATGAATTTTACTCCAGAAGAGCAATCATCTAACTGGTGTCACTAACTTTGTAGCAACTTTGTTAGCATTGTGCATCTATGTATGATAATGCACAGAACTTGGACCCATTAGCTTGGAATGAGAAATCCTCTCAGCTTGTATCCAGCGAATACAATTGTCCCTTTGAACAAGTCTGAATTTGATTCAAACTCAATAGAATAGAAGACAAGTTATAGCTGTTACTGGATCCGATTCTATGCCCTTTGGGCAATACACAGATCTCTCTGCAGATCCTAGTCCACTGGTGATGCAGCCAGAAATCAGTATCAAATGTGAAATCTAATGTGTATAGAAGCGGAAATAAAACTTTAGGTTGTAATCAACCAATGAAAAGTAGCCAATTTTCACAAAGTAGCATTCTCTTCTTTAATTGATCTTTCCTACTTAAAATTGCCCTTCTATTTAAAGATCAATAGTTTCTGTTTTCCTCATTTTCATCTTCATGTTTGAAACGTGTTCATATGTTGGCGATTTTGGGTTTGATGGATGGGCTGCCTCCACAGCTAAAATCTGCATCCGACCTATAAATGCACATTACATCTCATGCAATGCGTTAAATCTTATCACACCAAAAGATCAACAAATCTTCTGCATATTTATATGTAATGCAATTGATAATATGTATATAGCAGATATTAAAGATTATTCATATTCAGAGTGCATTGTTTCTTATAGTTGCACTATGTGCTCAAGGACAGTTTAGATTATACATTATTTTCTTGCTTGATTTCAAGTATTTTCTAACTGAACAATGTTGTGGATCACACACACACAGAGCTATGCACACTTCATTAATATCACACTAAAATGTACACAGTATCCTAACTTTCATTTTCATTTGTAAATACAACTCCGAACAATATGTTTTGCTGGGTTCGGTTATTTAGAGGTGTCAAAGTGGGTCGGAAAGCTTGGCCTGTGGGCTGGCTCGCTTGTGAAGGGTGTCTCTGCAGTCTTGACATTTGTAAATACAACTCCGAACACTTTTTTAGTTGTTGACTGGTCTACAGCAGTCAACAACTAAAAAATGTTGAGCAGTCAACAACTAAAAAATGTTCTACTTCCAAAAATGTTATTCAATGTTTTTAATTGAAAAAATAATGTTGCATTTGTAAACAGAGTTATATTATTCATAGTTAATGATTATAATAGTCATCTTATGTTGCAACTTATTATTTGAGGTACTAACTTGTTATTTGAGACAACAAAATTACAAGAAATTAATACATCAAATAACAAATTGTCACGTAGGATGATTACTGCAATCGCTGACTATGAACAGCACGAGGTGTACTACAGCGAGAGTTCGACCACCACCATCATCTCTACTCGATAAATTTTCACAACCACCATCATATGCTTCCACCGCCACTAAAATTGCACAACATTACCACTATAAAACAAAATCAACAATAAAACTAGAGTCACAGTACATAAAATTCGAAGTCTCATCTAAATCCACATTTGCGATCTTTACCAAAGGTTGGTGTTGGTAGTTGATGTCAATGATAATGGCAGGATGGTGGTTGGCAACGTCAGCTACGATGGTGCTGAGTGGATGCGGGGTGGTTTTGGAGTTGGTGGATTGTGAAGGACGTAGGCAACAATCATGGTAGAAGGGTTATTGTCACATGTACATTATGGTGTACATAATGTACAAGTGGTATAACATCATTGGAGAGTTGAAAGATAGTTTTTTCAATCTTTCAATCATGGAATTCTACATATATATTATAAACATTTTTATGGATATCATAATGTACATATAGAATTATTCGTTGTAGAACGAGGTGATGGTTTTATGGTGGATATGGGTGGAGGGATGGTGGTTGTGATGGTATGGAAATTGGAAACAATAAATTGGGGAATG